AAATGTATTATAATTTAATGTAGATGGTGGATAGAGATGGTTAGATTGTAATTGAAGCTAAGTGAATAATTCCAATGAATAATTAATTCAATGAATGTTGCCTATTTTCTACTCAGAAAATATTTGCAATTTTTTATTTTTTCATGTGTAATTATTCTCATTTATGGTTGTTCCTATTTTTTCTATAGTCAAAAGAAGAAGGGAATTATTTAAGTGAATTGTGTTTTTCTAGTTTCTGTGAAAATGATGACACCTCTTACTCACCTCCACTGAGTACATGTGTGCATATTCCTCTTCAGAGCTCTTTGAAGTCAGTGGGTTTCTGTGAGTGGCAGCCCTGCCTCCATGGGGCTCTGTGTAAAGGCATGGGTGCATCTGTGCAGGATCAAATACAGGTTCAGGGTTTTCAGTATTTCCATTCTACTGCAGGTATTCTCTACGTTTAGCAAATGTCAAACTTTTAATGTGATGCCTCCTTTAAATGAAGAACAAACTGTTCAACTAATAAGATCTCAACTTAAAAAAACAGGGTTCACTCACTGTCCCACAAGTCTGACTTGAGGCTGAAAAAGAAAATACTTTGTAGACAATGAAAATGAATATTTTACTTGGAATTATATCTGCAGAGTTATACCTATATTACATGCATAAAGTAATACAAATACATAAAGAATGTCTCTCTCCTTTTCTTGTTAAATGCCACTGAATGGTTGCAGCATTCTACATTTCAGGAGAGGGCATATAAAAATTTAGCTATGCACATGCTTTTCAAAGACAAATAATCTTCCCTGTGCACAGTCTGAGTAAATGATCTGTGTAAGGCTTTGGGGAATGCTTCAGTCAGGCCATGGAGCAGCAGCAACACAACCTCAGGGTCGCAGTCATTTCTGTGGTGGCTGGCCCCCAGAACCATTATAGATCTTACTAGAAAATTCCTGTGTTCAGATTCTCCCCTCACTTTAGGGCAAACTGAATCCCTGCACATGGTTCAGAGCCCTTTCTTGGATTCCCTCCATCTACCTTGTCCTGTACAGGCTCCCTGCACTCTGTTTCAGTTCTGCTGCCCTTATGACAGCATTTCCCAAACCTTCAAAAGCTTAGATACCCTTAAATCATGACCCCCACCCTCTTGAGCCCCTAAACATACTCATTTATATATCTTCTCCACCTCCTTTACAGCCCCACGCAGCCCTTTGCTAGTCCTTTGCACCCCACATTGTATGTACACTGGTATAGATTTTCATAACGTGAGACTTCCTCTCTCTTCTTACAGTGAAATACTTTTAAATGTCAATGTTAACTGTCATTGGCATTTGAGTTAGCAGCACCCATTGAAACAAAATGGGACAGTTGACATCTCTGAGGTATTGTTGCAGGCTCTTTGCAAACTCAAGTAAATATTGCTATATCAAGTATATCGTGGTCATGTTTTTAAGTTCTTTTCACAACCATACCCGCTGGAAACTTAAGGAAAAATAAAATGAAAGCTAAGACTCTGGATAAAAATTGAGAGGTCTCTCCATGCTTCCCTCAACTGGCCCTTTCCAACCTCATTGAAATAAATCAACTTGCAGAAGGAGTGTAAGTTGGGACAGAATTTGACCAATAGCTCATATGACTTGTTGGTTCTGTGGGTCTCAACCTGAGAATTGGGGTCAGTCACAGAATCCTTAATACAGTGAAGAGCGGAAAAGGAAGTGGATTATGATGATCCACTCTCTGTGCTCCCTCCTCTGTCAGGAGCAGATCTGGGAGGTGATGGACATCTGTGGGGCACTCTTCCAGTTGCCACAGAATCTTCACTTTCACGTCATATCAGAACCTATAGCAGAACAACCCAGTGGAGTTACAGAGTAGGGCTGGGCCAATAATGGATTTTTCAATTCGCTGGCAGTTTCAAAAACATTAATAGGGAAAACACTTTTGGTTTGAGCTGAAAATGAATTTTTTTGCTAATTGAAAAGTTGAAAACATTTAATTGTACGTCAAACAAAACAAGTTTTGTTTCAATTTCAAGCATTGTTCATGTTTTTATTGTTGTTTAATAAAATTGAAGGAAACTCCAGAATAAAAAGTTGTTTTGAACCAAGAATCGAAATACTTTGTTTAGAAAATGTCTATGAAAAGTTTCGATTTTTTGGGAATTTCGAATTTTTTTTCTGGCTGAAACAATTAGGTGAAATGGACATGAATCACAAAACTTTTCAGCATTGCTGAATCTGCATTTTTCACAGAAAGAAAAGTTTTGACTGAATAATTTCTCCCAGCTCTACTACCGAGCTCTAAGAATTCGGCCAGCACTTGTGGAAAAGAGCTTGACTTTTCCCATCACATAGTTTTTTTATACAAACTTTGGAGGGAGGAGTATCTAAATTTAGCAGCAGCACAAAACTAGTTGTGGTTGGTTTAGTTTGTTGGAAGTGGGACACAATTTTGTTTCAACCAAGAGTTGTATTGTAATGTTTATGTTGGAAATAATTAGGCTACTTTTAGTGACAGTGTTCCTCTTGAACAACCTTAAAGCATTTAACTGCTTAATGACTTGCTTAGAATTAATTTTTAAAAGCGAATGATTTTAATAGTATGGTATGTGAACAATAGTGTAATCTATTCAGCAGTCTGGCTTATATTTTCATTGATTTTATATTAATATTGGAACAGAGACAGTAATTTTTAGTGCTTTTACAGCTGTGAAAACATACCTATTGCAAAAACAGACTAAACTGTACCAAAGGGTTTGCTATGCCAACAATATTTAGTACTTCATTGTAGGACCTCTATTTTAAACATCTGTCCCTCATTTAATATATTTTAAATGCAGAATTTTTAGTGTGGTCAAAAATATAACTGTTTATAATAAGATGCTGCCTCTGCTACTGCGGAAAAAAGCAGCACAGTTAAATTTCTATGAGAAAAAATATTTGTTAATGATTTGTAGGATTTGGGTCATTGTCCCTATCACTCGCATGGAAATAATAAAAGACAAAAACGCCACATCACCTGTGGGTGAATACTTTCCACAAAGCAATCACTTTACGTCTGACCTATCAGTCCTCATCCTCAAAGGAAACCTGTACAACACTTTCAAAAGACAAGCCTGGGAGCTTAAATTCATAACTTTGCTAGACACTAAAAATCATGGACTGAGTTGAGACATTGGATTTATGGTTTATTACAACGATCTATAATCCACTAACACCACCATCCCCTATCTGCTCTCTCCCACACATTTCCTTTCCTCCCTATGACTGGAGGGGTTAACAGGATACTTCACCTTGAATGATCCCTTGAAATGTGTTAACTGCTTATGCTAAATAATCTGTTCCATCTTGTATTTACCTCTGACACTCTGATTAAGTTTCCCAGCCCTGAAGAAGAGCTCTGTGTAAAGCTGAAAAGCTTGTCTCTCTCATCCAGAGAAGTTGGTCCAATAAAAGATATTGTCTGTCTAGGAATTAATAAGTTAATTTTAGAATACAGACATCAGGAGCCAAATTCTAAATGGCTGTGTACTGTACTGTACACACATTCGCAGAAAACAGATACATAGCCACACTGCAGCTGGAACACACAGTGGAGGATGTGTGCCTGGCTCCTATGATGTGAAGGGCCCAGGCAACAAGAAAGCTGAAAGAACATACTGGTATATAAGAAGTGAAGGGAGGTCTGTTTGTATGTGTGTGGCTGTCTACATCAATGAGCACTATGTCTACAATCTAATCTCTTTTAGAGTTTATATCAGTGGTAGTTCTTATAATTATTAACAGAAAGTACCATAAAGTATTTGAATTTTCAAAGCTTTTTGTATACAGGCAAAGGAGATCACTAGTACATAGATTTGCTACTATGAGTGACATGTTTTGCTTTTGCATTTGGTTTGGATGTGCCTTTGCTAAATGCTGCATATTCCAGGGTTCATTTTTCGTATTTCTTTTACCCTTTGTTTGTCATGCTTTGTGAAATTCTTCGTGTCAATTTCTCCAATTATTTCTTCTCCATCCCCCCCTTCCTTTAAATGAATGGATGTGAGATTTATGACACACACCAGGCCCTCTTACACCAGGATGAGGACAATACAAGTAACTGTATAGAGAGACCGACACTCTTGCATATTAGTTATGATTGGCTGTCACTGCTTCAAGGCCGCAGTGTACGCTAGTCATTGCTTACTAATGTTCTTTTTTAATAATCGAGTCAGACCACAGATTGTTCTGTTATCCTCTCAAGGTGCATTATGGCACAGGCCAGAACATAATATGGAAAAAAGCAGGATTTCGTACTTAAAAAAAAAAAAGTCCAGGCATTCACAGTACGAAGTCAAGGAAGATCACCACCAATTAATTTTTTCCATGGACTCTGTAGCTGTGCATACATTTTTCACAAAAGAGAAGCAGGACATAATTTTATTGAATTGGGTCCTTGCAGACTGAATTGCATTTGCCCTTCTACGTTTGAATACCTCTTCACACTACATATTTAAACCACGCTCTTGTCTTGTGTTGGTTTTTTGGTTTGTTTTTGTTTTTTTATTTAATAGAATCATGTTTTGCTTTTAATTGTGTGAGCAGATAAAATGAAAAACACAAATCAGTGCGTAAGTTTAGGCTTATCAAAAATTATGCAGCGTTTGTATAAACTGCAGTTTTTAAAATGTGGTTATAATATTTTATTTTCTGTTTTTAATTACATTTTCTAGATAGTATTTTTGCCATATACTATTAAATTACATTTAAAAAATGCTCTATATTAAAAGAACATTAATGTTATGAAGTCAAATACTTAGAAGTTAGGAAATGCAAGAATATTAAGGTTGCCCAGACATCGAATAAAAACATTTCAGCACCCTTTACTTCATGAGAAACTAATATTGTTCCAAACCCAGGGATAAAACAAAACACAAAATAATAATAAAAAAAGACTTTGAACCTATATGTTGTGGCAAATTTCTTTGAACCTGAGTCCTTGGTACATATATGGTATGTGCATTTCTTTTTCATTAGGTCTGCTTTCCATCTACAAACTCTACCACTGAAGCTGATGGGAACTGCAGGCATTCAGCGCCTTTGAAAATCAGGTCACTTTTTGTAAGTACTGAGTATTTGTGATTCTCACTGACCTCAGAGGGGTTTGTGCGTGAAAATCAGTCCATTGTTATTTACGTGCCTAAATGTGGTTTGAAGTGCCTAACTTTTAGGCAAACAGGTTAAATATATACAAATATGTAATATGTTGGCCTAGATGACAACAACATTAGATAAGGGAGCTCAGACATAAATTCTGTCCACTGCAGAGATTCTATGGAAAGTTTCCCACAGGAGTTTTCATCCTTCAGATAGATCTTAGTGTAAAATTGCTTGATTGGTTGCCTTTCAGAGCCAAGTCTTCATGAACAAGGTCTTGCAAATGATACATCACACAAAGGAAAGTAGTAACTTAGAGGCCTTTGTGAACTTGTTATTGCTGGTCAGTGGATATCCGGTCTCTGAAGCAAATCTGTAGTTATGTTCAGTACAGTGTCTGTGCTTTTAAGTAAATCAAAGGCCTTTATGTAGGTTTCTCATTGATTTTACAAGAAATCATGCTCTTCTTCTTCTTTGAGTGCTTGCTCATGTGTATTCCACAGTAGGTGTGCGAGCTCGCCACGTACACTGGTGCCGGAAGTTTTTCCCTCAGCAGTACCCATACGGGGAGTTCTGTTGCGACCCCTGGAGTGGCGCCTCTATAGCGCATTATAAGGGGAGCTGCGCGCTCCCCCCACCCTCAGTTCCTCCTTGCCGCCAGTGACAGTGCATCAGAACTACTCGCTCCAGCTTTGCTGCAGCTCGTCCCAGAACTCGTTTGTTGTTAGTAGTACCAGTGTTAGTTTATTAAAAGTTCCAGTTTAGTTAGCTAGTGTTCGGGCCGGGGCATGTCCCGGGCCCCAGGGCTTAAGTCATGCTCGTCTAGCAGGCGCTCGATGCCCAGAAGTGACCCGCACACCGACTGTCTCCGCTGCCTGTGCAAATCTCACATCAGCGAACGCTGTAAGATCTGCAGGTCCTTTAAACCCAGGACAAAAAAAGAGAGAGACATTAGACTTCGGGCTCTTCTCATGGAGTTGGCACTGGCTCCAACCCTGGTACACCAAGCGGAATCAGCACCGGGCACTTTGTCTTCGGTGCGCAGCGATCTCCCGTCACCTTCGGGTGGCTGGCACCGCTCCCCGTCGAAAAAGCAGAGGAAGGCTCCGTCTTCTCAGAAGCGTCGAGAGAAGGCACGGGGTGAGGCTAGACCCACGTCGGGCAGCCCCAGTTCCCCCCCGGGCTCTAGAGCTCCGACTCAGGTTGAGCTCTCGGGCCTGCTCGCTGCTCAGTGTCCTATCGGGACACAGCTGCCAACCTCCGCTCTCGTCGCTCTCCAGGTTGTCTGGTAGGGTGCCGTCGGAATGGAGTTCCAGGCACCGCTCCACGCCGAGTACAGAGTATCGGCAGGACAGGCACCGACGCCATAGACACTCCCACTCTCGGTGGAGCTACCGGAGCCGCTCCCGGCACAGACGCCGTCACCGATCATGCTCCAGCTCCCGTGCGTCGAGGCACCGTGTTCAGGACTCCCAGCGGGGATCGCCACCACCGCATCGTCGCGGATCCAGGCGTTGAAGCGTCTCGAGGAGTAGCAGTTCGAGGCAGCACCGTTCCTCGACGTCGGAGTTCCGGTCCCGTGGCAGACGTCCTTCTCGGCACCACCGCGCGTACTGCTCGCACAGCATCGATAGGTCATTGGTAACCCCAACCTCAACCTACACGCAGCACCCTATGACCCAGCCGGGCCAACCCGACCAGCTGGTGCTGCACCAGAGTCAATGGCAAGGCCCCCCCGTGACAAAGCCAGTGGTACCAGTGGACCCCTTGGTTCCCCATTCATGCCCAGCAAGGCCCTCGGTCGATAGCAGGAGCATTGGAGGCTCCTTCAGCCGCGCTATCTAGACCTCCGAGGGATAGATCAGCAGGTCACGGTTCCTCGGCACCGCACGAGGAGTCGAATCGGGGTGGATCCCGTTGCACCGGCAGACGTACAAAGCCTGATACCACCCCCCTCCCCTGCACCTGATGACAAGATCGCAGACCCACCTCCCTCAGTACCGCAAGAGGACTTCAGGGCTCATCAGGAGCTACTAAAGCGAGTAGCATCCAGTCTCCATCTCCAAGCTGAGGAGATGGAGGGTCCCTCGGACTCACTGTTCAATGTGCTCTCATCCTCAGCACCGGGTGGAGTGGCCCTCCTGCTCCACAAGGGGGTGGCTAACATCTTCAATGCCCTCTGGCGTACGCCGGCCTCCCTTGCCCCAATATTGAAAAAGGTGGAGAGCAAATACTTTGTGCCCACAAAAGGGCATGAATACCTTTATACCCGCTTGGCCCCCACCTCCCTAGTGATAGAGTCTGTAAATCACAGGGAAAGACCAGGCCAACCAGGACCCGCACCCAAGAATAAAGACTCCAGAAGACTGGATTCGTTTGGCAGGAAGCTTTATTCGTCCGTCAGCTTCCAACTCCGGGTGGCCAACCACCAGGCCCTCCTCAGTCGATATGAGTTTAACTTGTGGGAGGTCACTGCCGAAATTTGAGCCCTCCCTTTCGGAGCGTGAAAGGAAGGATTTTAAGGCGCTGGTGGAGGAGAGTGCCACCACCGCAAAGGCTGCTCTGCAGGTGTCGTCGGATGCAGCCAACACGGCCGTTCGGTCCATTGCTTTGGTCATGTCCATGCGCAGTCTGTAATGCAGGATCTTCCCTTTGACGGCAAGGACCTGTTCGCAGAACAAACAGACGTGAGACTTCATGGCATGAAGGACTCATGTACCACCCTTCAGACCCACCCAAGGAGAAGCCTAAGATGCAAGCCTTCGTCCCTGCGCCCCAGCTGAGATACGAGCCCGCCTACAAGAGGTCCAAAACCCAAAAGAGGCGACCTCAGAGGCAGTCTCGCTCTGCCCCGCAGCCTGGGCCCTCCAGGGGCAAGCAGTAGGGCAAGAGGCGGTTTTGACTGGTTGCAGGAGGGTACCCGGGGGACCCCCCGAGAGGACCCTCCTACCAATAAAGTTTGCTTTCAGCAACCGCTTGTCTGCGTTCCTTACGGAATGGTCCCAGATAACATCGGACCAATGGATCCTCAACACCATTTCCCGGGGTTATATGCTGCAATTTGTCTCGCCCCCGCCCTCCCTCCCCCCCTCCCCCCCTCCCCTGGACGACAGGGGGGACCTGTTGCATTTCCTCATGCTACAGCAGGAAGTGGGTTGGCTCCTCAGCTTGGGAGCCGTGGAGAAGGTTCCGTGGGAATTCCGGGGAAAAGGGTTTTATTCCCGTTATTTCCTGATCCCCAAAGCAAAAGGGGGACTCAGACCCATCCTGGATCTGCAAGGCCTCAATCGCTTCATGGCAAAATGCCGATTCCACATGGTCTCTCTAGAATGCATCATACCCGCTCTGGACCCTGGCGACTGGTATACGGCCTTGGACCTTTAGGACGCATACTTCCATATCCATATATTCGAGGGGCACAGACACTTCCTCCGCTTCCTGGTCGGGCAGGACCACTACCAATTTACGGTCCTCCCCTTCAGCCTGTCCACTGTGCCCAGGGTATTCACAAAGTGTATGGCAGTAGTGGCAGCCTACCTAAGATGCCGAAGGGTACAGATATTCCCCTACCTCAACGACTGGCTACTCAAGGGTAGCTTGCGGTCCTGGGTACAGAACCACGTGGACCTGCTCTTGGCCATGTGTGCCAACTTAGGCCTTCTAGTAAACGAGGCCAAGTCGACGCTGGTCCCGGTACAGTGCATAGAATTCATAGGCACCCTCCTGGATGCCTCCAAGGCCACAGCCTCCCTTCCCCTGGACAAGTTCCAGACCCTGAAGGCACTAATAGCCTGGGTCATGGAGTTCCCCGTTACCACGGCCAGGGCATGCCTGCGGCTCCTGGTCCACCACGCCAGGCTTCAGATGAGGCCCCTCCAACTCTGGTTGGCCTCAGAGTTCTCCCAGGCCCAGGACAAACTGGACAAAGTCCTCTCAGTACCGGCACGGGTAATTGCCACGCTACAATGGTGGTCCTGTCAATATGCTCCAGGGAATTCCCTTCCGGGACCCGACCCCGTCACTAGACCTAGTGTCCGACGTGTTGGACCTGGGCTGGGGGGCCCACATAGGGAACTTACAGACCCAAGGGATGTGGTTAGCTGCGGAGCTCTCCCTTCACATAAACGTAAGGGAATTCTGGGCGATATGCTTAGCCTGTGTGGCGTTCAGCTCACAGCTGCGCGGCAAGGTGGTCAGAGTACTCACGGACAACACCGCCGCGAGGTTTTACATCAACAGGCAAGGCAGGACGAGTCCTCGGCCTTCTGCCTGCAAGCCATCAGCCTCTGGGAGTTCTGTATAGCCCACAACATCTCCCTGAAGGTTTTCCACCTGCCAGACATCAACAACACACAGGCCGATCGCTTGAGCAGGGTTTTCTCCTCCCAACACAAGTTGTCGCTCCACTCGGAAGTCACTCATCAGCTCTTCTGAGCGTGGGGCACTCCCCAACTAGACCTCTTTGCGACCCGACAGAGCTGCCGTTGCCCCAGGTTCTGTTCCGGGGGTGGTGGGGAGGAACATGATCTCAGACGCCTTCCTCCAGTCATGGTCGGGTCAACTCCTTTACGCCTTTCCCCCGTTTCCCCTCGTTGCCATAGTCCTGGAGAAAGTGAAAATGGACAAGGTGCGTGTCCTCCTGATCGCCCCAGCTTGGTCCTGGCAGCATTGGTACGGAACCCTCCTAGGCTTACTCGTGGCCCCTCCCCAGCCGTTGCCGCCCTGCCCGGATCTACTCTCCCAGGACCAGGGCCACCTCCTCCACCCCAATCTGGCCACGCTCCATCTGACAGCGTGGCTGATCAATGGCTAAATGTGGAAGAGAGAAGGTGTTCGGAAGAGGTCAGGCGTGTCCTCCTCGAAAGTAGGAAACCATCCACGTGCTCATCCACTGGCAAAGTGGTCCAGGTTCTCCAGGTGGGCGGGAGAGCGGGGTGCTTCCCCAACTTCCGCCCTGCTCCAAT